ACGGAGCCCCCCCCACCACCACCACCAGAGCAGTCTCCTCCACACTGAGCGCTCTCAACACAGAGACCCCAACAGGAAGGAGCTGAGATCTGCCGTCAAATAGGGAGATTCCCCGATGGATTAGTCTTATTTATTTTACATACTTACATGTTTGTGTGGTTAGTTTAAGTGCAGTAACACCTGCTGATGAAAGACGACCATTGAAGCGGACAGGGTGAGTTTTTGTGCTCATACGGCAAAAACAGAGTTTGTTTTATTGAGATTGTATCTCATGTCTCTCATGCTGTTTGCACATATGCACAAAACTCCTGACTGTTTGAACGCAAATGGACCCCCCCCCCCCCCACTATGTGAGAAGCAGGTAGTATTGTGAAAATAGAACCTGGGTTAGCGACCTGTGATCATCATGCAAGTAATAAAGCAGCTTCCTGCTCTCCTCTTCTCGCCGTATCTTCTCCTCCGCTCCTCAGTGGATTCTGTGGATGCTTCCAGTTACACGCAGCTTTGATGTTAAGGAGAAAACTGTTCATGATCAAAGCGTCCAGACTTTGTGAATGAAATCCTGCAGCAGTGCAAAGCTTCCCAGTCATTATGTCTTTCATATTGATCCTACAGCGACGTCATACTGGCCGGCCAGTCCTGAGGTCAGATAAGAGGAGTAACACTAAAGTTCAACAGAGGGCAACGTTCCCACGCAGCAGCTGACAAAGACGTGGTCCGTGTTAGCAAGAAGGCCTAAAGGGGAAAGGTGGAGGACAGGTTCAGGACCAGGCGGAGGGTCGGACAGCCAGCCAGTGTGCAGACGCACTCGGGAGCAGGTGTTAACAACAGACAGCTGAGTGTACCACTCACACTGATAAATCCTTGTTTAGAAATGCCAAACAGCGGGAAGACGTGCAGACAGTTTGTTACAGATTATCTGTCACTGTGATCGTTTGATCGCAGCGGGATGGAGGAGGATGTGGTTGAAGGCAGCGTTTAATTGTTTTCTCCTTTCAACAGAATCGTCTGTTTCTCTGCTGTGATCCGTGTTTTAAGGATCCTAATAAATACCCTGTGTGTGTTTTTTTTATGATTCACGCTTCAGTGTTGCGCTCATTAAGATCTCATTTAAACAGATTTCTCTCATTTGAACATCTGAAAGCTTTAATGAGCTATAAAAACCTGTGTGATCGTAAGAAGGACGGGTTGAGCCGGGCTGGATTTGTTCAGATTCAGAATCAGAATCAGGGTTTTTAAGGAATTTGACTTGGTATATTGGTGCTGAACAATTAACAAGGAAATAAAGCAGAACTAGCAACAACTTAAATAATAAAGTATAAGAAGCTATTACAATATATAAAATAGAATTAAAAAATATAAAAGATAAAAAATAAAAACACAAAATGTACAAAAGGTGCATTGTTGGGCCCAATGTGAACTCTACAGTCTGTAAATGTGGCCTCACCAATAACAAGCCTTTACCTGGTAGCAGGAATGATCTCATTTTTCCGCCTCATTTAAATAAGCGTCTGCCTCGAGCGCCGTGTCGGGGTCGTCTATGTGACGGCAGCAGCAGCGTCTCCTGTTTTGTGGTATAGCCTCAAACATGCTTCAGTGCTCATTTTGATCTCCTCTGAAACAGATTTGAGTTGAAATCTTTGATTCTAACAGCGGACTTATTGAAATATGTGGAGGTGAAATCACACCACATAAAAACAGTTAACAGGACGGGACAGGCTCGGACAGAACTCCTGGTCTGGTCGAGGTCAGGTCAGGGTCTTTGGGCCTGGTCAGAGCCTCTCCTTCCTCTTCCTCCCGTCCACTTTTCCAGGAGTATTAAGAGTGTTTGTGAAAACAGATTTAGTCCTTTTTCCCACAGATTGGTACAAACCTCGTGCAGAGAAACAAACGATTCTGTTCAAAACAATCAAACGCTTCCCCCTCATTAAAAACCCTCTCCAGATCTCTTCACCCACATCCTCCTCCGTCCCGCTGCGACCACGGCTCGGTTTTACAACAGACGATCACATTCAGAGAATAACGTTTCTTGCCACCTCATACCAAACACTTGTCTGCTCTCCATCATGTCCCTCATCACGGCCGCCATTTGTGCAGGCACGTCTATCAGGACCGCTCCACAACAAAGACCTCGCCGCCCCAATTTGCCTGAAACCCTATACAGGGACGTGAAACACTGACCTTTGACCCCACCTGTGATAGAAGTGGCGGTGTTGTCCCACAGCTCGGTGAACGTGTCAAACACATTCCCAGCCGCCAAGGCAGCCGTGCTCCTGCTGCGTGTTAGCGCTGCAGCGGCTCAAACTCTTGTGACATTTGTTTTTGCGTCTCGGTAAACACGACTCCGCGCCGACAATGAGATTGAAAAAAAGATTTGAGGTGTTTTGGGAGTTTGTAGGTTTATCTGGGCGAACTTTGTAAATGTTATCGTTCGTATGAAACTCGATACGGATTTATTTAAGAATGCCAAACATCCTGTCCGACCATCGTTAGAGGACCAGAGAGCTTCACTGTGTTGAATCAAATCAAACCTTATAAACCAACATCTGTTTGTCAGCCCAGCTTCCTTTAAAGAACCTTCAATCTCAAACACAAATAATCACGTTAAACACTCACCCCCAATTTCCAAATACTCCGCCGCGGTCTGTAAGCGCCAAGGTTTTGCTCTGGAGGAAGGAGCGCGCCCTGCCCCACTGAATCTGTTTCACATCACAGGAGAACTACAAGATCACAGGAGAACTACAAGATCACAGGAGAACTACAAGATCACATGAGAACTACAAGATCACATGAGAACTACAAGATCACATGAGAACTACAAGATCACAGGAGAACTACAAGATCACAGGAGAACTACAAGATCACAGGAGAACTAC